CCGCGCCCCTCAGCCTCCTGTCCCTCGTCTCCCAGCCTTGCCCTGAGCACGAGGCCAGCAACCTAAGCCGGCCGGTCCTTGCTCACTGTTGGGGGAGGGGGTGGGCCTCTGTTGTTATTTATCTGGTTTGGGTTTTGCACGTCTCCCCACCCCCCCCACCACACACACACACACACACACACACACACACACGAGCGTTCCCCCCCCCCCCCCATCCACCCAGCCTCTTGGTTTTCTGATCATGTTTCGGGGAGATATTCAGACCCACGGGCGTGCCGGGCCAGGGGGCTCTGGAAAGCTAAGGGGGAGATCTCGGGAGTCCTGGGCGGCTGGAGACCCCCCAGGCCAGCCCGGAGGCTTCTCCCTTGCAGCAGGGACCCCCCCCCACACACACACACACGTCCCTCCTCTGCTCCTAGGCCTCTGGGAAGGCTGGAGCATCTGTTCCTGCCCGCAGCCCGGCTTCTAAGGCGGGTCTCGAACCTCCCTGCTCGCAGCCTCGCCTCTGCCTGTCCTCAGAGGGGTCTGCGGGAAGGGCCAAGGGGTCCTGCTGCTGCGTCTGTCCAGGCGCGGCCGGGAAGGCTCCCCGCTGACCCCTCGGCTGCCACATCAGCCTCGATGAGGGAGGTTGGCTGAGGGCGCCTGTGTACACACACAAACACACACACTCACACACATGCACGAACACACATGCACGCACACGCACACTCACGCACTCACGTGCACGCACACACGTGCACACAGACTCGCATACACACGTGCGTACACATACACACATGCCCATTCACACGCATACACACACACACGCACGTTCACATGCACATAGGCTCACACACACATACTCACGCACACACACTCACACATGCACAGACACACAGACTCACATGCACACATGCTCACACGCATGCACACACTCGCATACACGCATGCACATTCACACATGCACAGTCTCTCTCTCACACACACACACACACACAGTCACACGGACACGCACACGCTCACATCCACACAGGCACTTCTCTGGCCCCAACCGCCTCCTGAGCTGGCGTAGGCGCGTGGCGCCGCTCTGGCTCCTTTAAGGGGTTCCCGTGACGGAGGCCGCATCTTCTCCCGGGCTCCTCTCCTTCCCTGGACCTCGGCAGCCAGCGCCGCTGCTCAGAGCCAGCCATACCGCGGCTTGTCAGGACAGGCCGGAGCTCCCTCTTGCTTCTTCGTACAAGCGTTTCGGGGACTGTCGCAACCGAGCGGGTCTGGCCCCCGGCCGAAGCCTCTGCCCGCGGCCCAGCTGCAGACCCAGGCTGATCCAAAAGGGCTTTGGGGCAGCTCGGCCTGTGCTCTGGGCCCACGGTCTGGGTCCAGCTGGTCATTCGGGCGGCGGCCAGCACGGGGCGGGTTGGGGCTGGCCCTTGGAGGCGCCTGCAGCCCTCGGCACTCCGTGGCCCGCACAGCAACCACATGCCGGCCCGGCCCAGGGCTAAGCCCGGGACTCCACAGCAGCTGGGCCGGCCCAGACAGGGAAAGCCCCGGCAGTGCGGGAAGGACGCGTATTCCTCCCCAGGAGGGCGAGGATGCTGCCAGGCAGGCACGGGCAACCCCTGCCTGCACACCCTGCCTGGGGCCCGCTGCCCGCAGGGATGGGAAGGGGCGTTGAGGAGAGAGGGAGGAGGAGGAGGAGGAGGAGGAGGAGGAGATGGCAGGAGGAAGAGCGTGCCAGAGTGGTGGCTGGGGGTGCCCGAGTGTGGGTACTGACAGCTTTCAGTGTCGAGGTTTGAGTCACCGGTGCCCAGAGTCCGTCTGCCCATGCGAGGACAGAGTGGGCGGCCGCTGGGCACTTGGCACCCTCGTGATCTGGACTTGGGTTCATCACGTGCCCCACTGCACTGGGAACGAGAAAACAGCGACATTATGAGCAGGTTTGGGATCCGAGCGGGAGTCCACGGGGAGGACGTTTGTTCTGCATGCAGCCCACCCAGGTTCGATCCCCGGCATCACTTAGAGGCCCCTGAGCCCTTCCAGGGGTGACCTCCGAGCACAGAGCCGAGAGAGAACGCCCCGAGCATCGCCTAGGTGTGGCCGCCCTCGCCCAACAAAGAAAACAGCAGGCGTTTTTATTAACCCTTTTGGCTTTCGTTGGAGATATTGTCGGGAATGGATTGTCCCTGTCTGCGTCTCTTTGCAGGTTTAAAAACGTGAATCGGGGAAAAATTAAAATAAGAGATAAGTCGCTTTTCATGAAGTTCTTCTCCCCAGAGAAGAGCTCCCCCGTTAAGCCATGGACTTTGGAAGTAGATGCATCTTTATCTCCTTATTTGTTTTTAATCGGAACTTCAAGGGTTGGAGAGACAGAGTAGGGTCGAGGCTCTTGCTTGGCAACGCAGCCAACCCAGGTTCGATCCCCGTCACCGTATTTGGTCCCCAAAGCACTGCCAGGACGGATCCCTCAACACGGAGCCAGGAGGAAGAACCAGGCGTTGCTGGGTGACCTCCAACGTCCTCCAATACTCTACACACACACACAGGCACACACGCACACACGCACACACACACACACTCGGGTGCGTGTGCACCTACTCCATTATTTTTTCTTTCTGTAGACATTAGCTAAGATTTGGTCCTTTTTTTTTTTTTTTTGCTTTTTGAGTCACACCCGGCGATGCTCAGGGGTTACTCCTGGCTCTGCACTGAAGAGTTACTCCTGGCAGTGCTCAGGGGACCATATGGGATGACGGGAATCGAACCCGGGTCGGCCGGGTGCAAGGCAAACGCCCTATCCGCTGTGCTATCTCTCCAGCCCCTAAGATTTGGTCTTTAACCACAAAAATATACGGGGTTCCTTGCTACTTTAGCACGTTTGGTTTCGTGTTGTTATTCTAAAGCATTCACGTACCGTTTCCACGTGAATTCTCGAGAAACGTAGCAAGCCGGCCATTCCGTGGCTTGAGATTCTCAGTCCTCCGTGGCCTAATCGGTCTCATCAACGGTAAGAAGCTCAGCCAGTAACGGAATGCCGAGCGCCCCTCTTTTGAATCACTTAAATGCTCAGGGGAGAGGCCGGTTGTGACATTCTGGGATGGTCAGGATCGCACACTGTCCTCCCATCGTTTATCGAGTTGTTCGAGTGGGCACCAGTAAAGTCTCCATCGTGAGACTTGTTGTTACTGTTCTTGGCATATGAATATGCCATGGGGAGCTTGCCAGGTTCTGCCGTGCAGGCGGGGTACTCTCTGCAGCTTGTCGGACTCTCTGAGAGGGGCGGAGGAATCGAACCCGAGCTGGCCGCGTGCAAGGCAAACGCCCTCCCCGCTGTTGCTATCGCTCCAGCCCGGGATGGTCACGCTGTTTCCTCTGGGCGAGGGATGGTTTTCACATTTGCTTGAGTGAATGGCCAGTGGCCACTTGAGCTTGTTTATAAACTCATCGTTCCTCCGGCAGTGAAACACGATCCCTCTGCTCAGGACAGCGCAGTGCAGATGATGGGTTGGAAAGAAAGCTTCCCGGGCCAACTCGATGTCCCTCACACCCCACTGAGACTCAAGGCTCGGGATGGAGCAGAGACTGGTACCCGTGAGTCACCTGGTCCTGTCCCTCCCCCGGGCCGCTCTGCTCCCTGCCGCGGCTTCTCCGGCCCAGGAACCCGAGAGGATTGTTGTGCTTGGGGATTCGTCTCCAGCTGATAAAGCAAACCCGTTCCTCAGGATCAGCAGTGCAGGCAGGCACTCCTTGGTTATTTCTGGCTTTGCCAAAAAGCTTCCTCCGTTCCAAAGGACTGGGACGTAGCTCTGGCGACCTTGGATGGGAAATTGGGTGGCAGAGGCTCAGAGACAAGCCTGGGATCCTCGTTTCTGCGAACCTCATCCCTGGGGGGGCTTCATTTTCCTTGGGACTCCCAGCGTGAGGCAGATGGGGAGCTCACGCGTCCCTCCTGGGCTCAGGGGGGCGGGGGCCCCGGGCCCAAGCTGGGGAGCCTTATCTGTTATCAGAGGTGGGTGTTTAAGGGAGGAAAAGGTGAGTCCAGATGGCAACGCCGCTGAGTCAGAGGAGGAAGGAGATAGTGTCCGACCCTCTCAGCAGGAAGCCAATCTCTTAGATCGGCTCTTGGGCGCATTTGACCAGCGGAGATTGATGAATGAGGCCAGCTGTCAGCTGTGGGCCGAGGGAGCTCGAGGATCCGGGGTGCGAGTGACTGATGAGGGTGTGAAGTGATTACAAAGTGGAATGCGTCAAACAACAACAACAGAACCCCAAGGGCTTTTTTTTTTCAATTTTTTAATGTAACACCGTAGATACAATTACAGACTTACACACTTTCGTAATTACGTTTCGGTCATACAGTGACCGAGTCCCCATCCCTCCCCCAGTGCCCATTCTCCATCACCAGTGTCCCCAGTGTCCCTCCCGCCGCCACCTCCCCCACCTGCCTCTGTGGCAGGCACCTTCTCTTTCGCTCTCTCTCCAAACCCCAAGTCTTAAAACTACAAATTTAAAACACGAGGAAGGAGAAGACATGGATGATAAATACTTGAGCCGATCGACTGAGGAACGAGAAGTTCCTGAAATCCCTGACGGTGGCCCCGTTCCTCGCCCTGGTGACTCTGAAGTTGGTCCTCTGAACCCAGCTTGCCCGCTCGATTGTATTTATTTTTATGTGTTGGTTTGGGGGGGCCACACCCAGCGGTACTCGGCGCTGACTCTGGGCTCACGGTGCTCAGGGATCACTCCTGGCAGGGCTCAGGGGACCATATGGGGTGCAGTGATCGAACCCAGGTCGGCCGCATGCAAGGCCAGCGCCCTGCCCGCTGGACTAGCTCTCGGGCTCCAGCTTGATTTTATTTCAGAAGGAGAGAGAGGGGATGTGGGGTGGAGGACTGGGGCCTTCCGCAGGGAGTCTAGAACGACGGCAGGAAGACACACGGCTGTTTCCCGTGGGCGCCAACACCCTGCAGGAGAGGGACTGGCCGGGCGAGTGGACAGTCGGAACTGACCGCTCCTCTTCTTTCCAGGTGGGAAGGAAAGAACGAGAATGAAGTGGGCAGGTGTAAAGAGACCGGCAAAGTGCACGTGACGGTCGACCTCAAGTACTACCGGCCCACGGAAGTGGTAAGGACCCGGCGGGGGTTGGGGGGTGGGGCGCGCCGGTGGGACCCCACCCCTCGGAGTGCTACGGCAGCGCTCGGAAATCCCATGAACATGCCTTGAGGGGAGTTGGCTCTGATCTGTTGGCTGGAAGCCCACACAGAATCCACAGCGTGTGGGGACTCGGGGGGACGCAGGCAGGAACGATGCGGCCACAGAAATGGGGCCACAGAAATGGGGGGCCGTCGAGCGCAGAGCCCAGCCCACTCTCTCCATTTGGGAGTTTGACTCTGACTTCCTGTGTGCTCACACACAGGCACTCACACGCCTCACACACGCACGCTCACAAGGCGCACGCCTCCATGGACACTCACACACATGCACTCACGCACATGTACTCACATGTACGCTCACATATGTACACTCCCACCTATATGCACATGTGTGTACACACACCTCACACATACACTCACACATGTGTGCTCTCACCCATCCGCTCAGTGCTTTCTCGCACATGTCCTCACCATGCACGCATGTGTGCTCCCACGTCCCTTTACACGTACACACGTTCCCAGTCTGTGTGCGCGTAGACATGCGTACACACATGCACTCACACGTACGTACACTGCACCACGCCGGTGCACCCACATGGATATGTGCACACACGGGTATTCACGTGTACACTCACAAGCCTTCACACACGTCTAGTCACAGTGCTCACGTGTGTGCTCACAGCACATTCCCGTATGTACGTGTACTTCACACATTCCCGGTGCACACGCGTGCGTGGTCATACACACGTGCACACCTGCAGCCTCGCCGCGGGGGTCTAGGGTGCAGTTCCCTTCCCCCACTCCCAAGTCCCCTGCCCTTGTGGGCTGTGTCGCCGCGGGGAGTGGGCTTGTCACTTCATCCTCCGCTTGTGAAGTTCGTCGTTTACGTGTCCTTTCTCCTGGGACCAGCCCTGGATTCTGGGCCTTCCCGGAGGCACATTAGACCCTTAATCTCAGCCGCTTTCCAGCCCTCCACCCTTCGCCCCTCCACCTTCGTTCCCTCCTGCCTCCGCCATCCTACTGGCTCTCCCTGCTCATACCACCTCCACCTGTGGCCTCCGTTGAGAGCTCGCGGTCTCGGACCAGGGGCGAGTGGCTGCCGCCTGCAGGCTGGGGCGGGCGGCCGAGGGGACGAGCTTCAGCGCCTGCGTGCAGCCATCCCACTGCTGCCTCTGTCTGGGCTTTAGAAGGGCGTGGCTGGGGGGCTGGAGTGATAGCACAGCGGGGAGGGCATTTGCCTTGCATGCAGTGGACCTGGGTTCGATTCCCAGCATCCCACAGGGTCCCTTGAGTACCTCCAGGAGTGAGTCCTGAGTGCATGAGCCAGGAGGAACCCCTGTGCATCGCCAGGTGTGACCCAAAAAGAAAAAAAAAAAAGAAAGAAAGAAAGAAAAGGAGGACGTGACTGGCATCACTGTGTACGGCCCGTATGTCCTCCCTCACCTGGCGTCATTGCGTGCGTCTGACATGCCCCCCTCAACCCGGCGTCCCCGCGTGCGTCTGACGTGGCCTCCCTCAGCCTGGTGTGTCCGTCGTGCCCCCCTCAACCTGGCATCGGATCCTCCCGCCGAAGGTCCCAGAACAGGACAGGGGGGCGTGGTCTTGTGTCTGCCGTGAGGCCAACAGCACCTTTGGGACCCGCTTCATCAACCCTGCGAACCAGATTTCCTCAGCATCTACGGTCAGGCCCCCTCAGGGCCTGCACCCCTCTGGAGAGGCATAACACCAATTGGAATGATAACACCCATCGCCTTCCTTTGTACCTGACAGTGGCCGCATGAGGAGCCATTAGTGTTCCTGGTGGGTCTCCCCTCTGTGGACCTCCTGGGGCTGTAGCAGGCAGCTGGGGACGGTGTGCGAGCCTCCTCCTCCTCCAGTGCTCACTGCTTCCCATTCGCCGTGGCCCCGCACACCCGGCCTCTTTGCTCCCGGCCACGGGCGGCCTGTGCTCAGTTGGGATGCTGTCCCGGGTCCCTCTCTGGTGGTGGCAAGTGCCCAGGGGAGCCCTGGGGCCTGGTGGGAAGGGGTCGCACGGTTCGTTCTCCTTGCTGTCAGCTGGCCGTGCTCAGTGAGTTGTGATGCTGACGTCATTCTGGTTGTGGCACTAGTGGGTGTAAGCTTCAGTGACACACACGCACACACACGTGTGCGCACACACACACACCAACTTCAGTGGCCACACTCTCCCCCTCACACACACATCTTCAGTGAGAGTGCGGTTATGTGATTTCCAAAGAGGGTGTACCCCTCACCTTGGTACACCCACAAATTTTTCATCTTGTGCTTGTCACCTTTAGTGATGTGCTCACACACTGCACACACATTTAGTGGCATTACTCTCTACCTCTCTCTCTCCCACACACACACACACACAGACATGCCATTAGTGGCATTGGCTTACACATGAACACAGCCAGCCACATTTGGTGGCAGTGTTCACACACACACACACACACACACACATCACACCCCATTAGTGGGATCGGCTTACCTGTAGACACAGACAGCCACCTTTAGTGACACTGTTCACACATATACACACCATTAGTGGCATTGGCTTACATGTAGACACAGACAGTCACCTTTAGTGGCAGTGCTCTCTCTCTCACACACACACACACACAACCACCTTTAATGATGGTGCTCAGAGGTACACGCATATACACACATGCCCACCTTTAGTGGTGGTGCTTCATACGGACACATGCCCATAATTAAGAGCAATACCCAGGCACACACATGCCCACCTTTTGTGGCAGTGCTTACACACACACACACACACACACACACACCTTAAATGATCCTGCTGATTCTTCCCATTGATCGAACCACTGGGGGAAAAAATCTTACCACTTGCTTCTGGAGCAAGTGAGGAGATCTTACCCTTTATGTTCAGGGCAGGGCACCAGCCGTCCAACCAGAGGTGGTTGGTGCTTGCATGCACCTCTTGGTTTTCTACCCCTAAATATCTGGATCTCCTTCCACCGTGTCAGGGCTTGGCTTGGGGATAGAGGGACTTGACCCTGCTAACTAGACTTTAAATTCCTCGTTGCCACTGAATCCCAGTGTTCACTGCGTGTGATGGTGACATTTCTGAGCCGTGTCCCCGACCTCCCGGCCTGCGTGTGTGCGGGGCTCTCGGGCCACTATCGGTGCAGTGGCGGGAGGCCGTGTCCCGCGTCGAGGCCCCGGGCAGACCGCCCAGGCTCCAGAACCCTCAATCACTGAGTGCGTGGCCACAGGCCAGCCACTTTCTTTCTCGGGGCCTCTATCCTGAGATTAATGGGATTAAAATGGGATTAGCACGATGACTTCTTTCAAAGAATCGTTGGATGATTAACAGAGCCAGGTATGCAAAATGCTTATTAGAACAGCGCCTGGACACTGAGTGTTGATGCTGTGGATGGCTTACGGAGCCGTCACTCGGGTACTTGCCAAACTCTGGGAGACCGTGAACGGACGCGACACGTGCCCACTGGCCCCTGGAGATGGTCACTATCGAGGTATGGGCTAGACTTCAATGTAGAAACATGGGGACGAGAATGATGTCCTCAGTGAGTTGTACCGATCAGCCGATTAGAAAGAAAGAACGGGGCGTGCTCCAGGATTCCAGAAACGTGCCTTTGGACCTCGACTTGCCTCTCTCTGCTTTATCTTCCTTCTCATCCCTCCTGATCCTCTTCCTGCGAAACCCAATAACTGCTAAATGGTTGCTAAATCCCGTGTAAGTCTGAGATGATTGATGTTATCCTACGACTTTCTTTAAAATAACCACAGAGATGTTTTCTTTTTGTTTGAGACCTTTTAACTTGGAAAACGCACAAGGTTCGGATTAATGAAGCAACCACCCTCTAAGTGCCAAATTGTTCACCGCACCAAATGGTCAACCCACTTGAAGAAAAAAGAAAAAAAAACACCAAGGGTTTTTTTTTTTTCAGAGAAACAAACCCACAAAAATCTCCACCCACCCACACCTTTTTTTTTTTTGCTCCCTACAGAGCATCGGGGCAAATGGTTTGAGGGATGGGGCATGGGGGGCGGGGGGAGACACCCATTCACAGACCAGCATTAAAACGGCATGTTGTTTCTCCTTTCTGTTGATGAAAATTCCTTGACTTCATTCCCATCAGATGGTGCAGATTCAGCTTGGTAGACCATTTGCCCTTCACATCCGTCTTCCTCGTCGATGCGTTTCGAATGCCGGGATGGGGAGGTGTTGTGATTGACGGAGTAGAGATGCAGTTCCCGCATACATTTTGTGGGGATCAGTAAATGCATTTGTGCGTATGGAGACACTTTTTTTTTTCTTTTTGCTTTTTGGATCACACCCAGCGATGCTCAGAGGTTATTCCTGGCTCTGCACTCAGGAATCACTCCTGGCGGTGCTCAGGGGACCATATGGGATGCTGGGGATCGAACCCGGGTCGGCCGCATGCAAGGCAAACACCCTACCCGCTGTGCTATCGCTCCAGCTCCAAGAGACACACTTTTGAGAATCCTGAGTCCAGGGTCTCAGCCCAGCAAAGCCCGGACTTCGGAGCGGCGTGTGCAGCTGGTGGAGACAGCGCCTTCTTTCAGCAGAGAGCGTGGCGGGGTGGCTCATCACACCCCTGCGTGTTTGCTGGCCCGCTGAGCTGCCCACTCCACACACGCTCCCTGATACTGTCCTGGAAGTGATGTGAAGTTAAACGGCCCGTGATTGCTGCCTCTCTCATCGCCACCACCCCCCCACCCCCCGTTTGCAATCGCGCTCAGTCAAACACTTCCCAGGCCCGCCCGGGAATCTGATCCGGCCCCGGCCACCGACATTCCAGGGGAAGCTTCTCCGGGCTCATCCTGGCTGGACATCGCCCCCGCCCTCCCTGCCCCTTCTCACCACCTCGCACCGGTCCCTCCCGGGCCAGGAAATTGGATGCTGGCGGGGCCTCACCTTCATGTGGCCAGCCCCAGAGCCTGGCCTGTCCCCAGGGG